CTCTTACATTCTGCAATTTTACTCTCCACTCTTGTTTATCAGTATATGGTCAATCTGGTTCTTTATGTGACCATCTAGTAAAGTCCATGTTAATTTTTGAATGTTCTTGTGTTGAAAGATAATGCCTCCAAATTGTTACCTTCTTGGCAAAAATTTTCTAGTCTACCACCCACAATCTTGTTTTCCGATTACCCTTGTTAGTGAATAGCACACTACAACAGTCAATCTGGCATATTTTGAATGGAAACTTGCAGAAAGACGTCTATCGCTGAATGGTTTCCAACCTAATATGCACTTCCCTAGTTTCTTACTGAGTTTTAAGCCTACACCGCTGCTGTAGTGTTCATCGTTTCTTCCTAAGTAAAATATCTGATGACCAATGGCAAGTTTTCGATACCCATTTTCTTTCTATCTTGTTTCACATGTACCTAACATTTGGATGTTGTTCCTGTCCATTTTCTTTAAGACTTAAGCCGATTTTCCTCAAGGGTGCGGACATTCCAGCAACCAACTTTACATACTTCTTTAGAACCGAGGATGTCCTCTATCTGGACGTCAGTTTCCTGCTGGGTTTGACTGCCATCCATCCATCCATCCATCATGTTATCAGTTTCCTGAGTAGTTTCCATCATTCCCTTGTTTCTGTTATTCTAGGTTTTGGTTTCTGTTGCAGTTAGATTTTTTATTACATGTTAGCAAAATCCCCTGGACTCGGAAGACCAGTGGTTTTCTGTCAGGGTTCCAGTTATTTAAAGGCGCTGGGGGCAGGGGACTTGCCTTTCGCCACTGTCTCTCAGCTGCTGTAGCATTTCCAGGGTCACCAAAAATTTCTGTAGGGGCAGAAATATCCCACCATATGAAAGTACATGTATGGTGGCATATTTTATAGTGGCATATTTCTGCCCCCTACATGCAAGATAGATTATGACATGCGACTGATTTATGTCAACATGCAAGAAAGCTTTGTTGACAGGCGACTTATTATCTTGCATGTTCACATAAATAAGTTCTCTTGTCAACATAATTATCTAGCATGTTGACATAAATATCTTACATATTAACATAATTATGTTGCATGTTGACATAAATGAATCGCATATCAACATAATAATCTCACATGTTGACATAAATATCTTGCATGTTAACATAATTAACTCGCATGTCGGCATAATTATGTTGCATCTTGTCACATACTGGCGTTAGTAAGTAGATTTACCCATACTAAAATCAGATTCTCTTAAAAGATTTGTAACTTACATGTCAACATAACTATCTTGCAGGTAGACATAACTATCTTGCATGTTGACATACTTTTCTTGCAATTTCACATAATTTATCTTGCATGTAGGGGCAGAAATATGCCACCATATATTTCTGCTATGGTGGCATATTTCTGCCCCCTACATGCAAGATAATTATGTTGACATGCGACTTATATATGGTAACATGCGAGATAATTATGTTGACATGGGACTCATTTATGCCGACATGCAAGATAAATATGTACTTATGTAGACATGCAAATTATTTACGTCAACTCGCAAGATAATTATGTTAACATGAAATATGAAGATAACGAACAGTACTCAATCTCGAAAATCCAATGAAACAATACAAATTTGGAGCAAAGCAAACACGGACCTCAAAATTCAGAGGTGGGATCGGGTGCCAAGGAGGAGTGAGCATCTCCTGCCGACCGGTCACATTCGCCGTGTGCTCCTTGTCATGATCGAAAAAAACCCTGGAAAAATCCGTAGACAGTACAGTGTATAAATAATGGTCTAACAATTAGTACGAGAAACGTCAGTCAGCATTTGACTCAATGAAAGGTTGTATGTGCTGACAAGGTCATTGTATCGACCATAAAACTTGCGAAATGATGACTTCAAACGAGACTGTTGATCTCCTTGTTTCATCAACTTGTTTGTCAATAGCATGCCTCGTTTTAGAAATTGTTCATAATACGTAGAGCATGTTCTTGCGTATCGAATCAACTGAGAGACATGAACCCCATATGCAGGTGATATACTGTAGATTCCTAAATATACGCAAGGAATTAATTATCGCGTAATTGAGCAAGAAACACCACTCGCGAAATAAAATTACTTGCTTTTATTTTTCCATGAAAAATCCTATGATCAACCCTCCACTCGCGAATTATTGTTCTCAAGATTTGACGTTAAAGAGCCAATCGCGATAATAAGTACTCGCGAAAAATAAGGAATCTACAGTAACTATGTTGCATGTTAACATTTTATTATTTAGTATTCAATAACAGAGATTTTTTTGCAGAACAGTAAAGGCACCAAACAGTCAACATGGCATTTAAAGATTCAAGTCATGAATCCAAGTACTGGGTTTGTCCACAAGAAGGGCCAAACGTATTCCAAGGGAAAAGACGATGATCCCAATGTACATATATTCTTTTTGTCCTTAGGAATTCAGGGTAACAAACTGAGTTCAAAGGTAACTGGATCGTCAGTCGGGAGATAGACATTGTGCCAAATATTGTTGATTGGTTAAGCAATAATGAACACAAGACAACATAAAATTGCTGTACTAGTAGAATTAAAGCTTATTTCACAAAATTCTCTCATGCATGTGACTTAAAAGTGCACAGAAAATTCATTGTTACTCATGAACCATAACAGAAAGGGAACTTTTGTCTGTATCAATTACAAGATTTAAGTATAAATTTATTTACATTTTGTATATTTAGTTGATTAATGTTTATTATATTTCATAATTACCACAAGTAATTGACATGCTTATGGCGTGTAATTTCACCTCAGAAAAACAAAAAGACCTTTAAGAAAGCATGACAGAATCTTACATTCTGTCTGTTGACGGATCTCTCTAGACTGCAGAGTACTTCAGGTATGACATGCTGCACCTTAAGAGGAACCTCTTAATTGAGATGGATTTCACTCGATGCGTCAATGGCTTACTAGTTCAGATTTCTGTTGAGCTTTTTGTTTTGGTTTATCTCCAGATGTTCAACCAAAAGGATGAATGGGTACGACACAATTGCCCCGCCCTCAGCAAGTCAAAATATTTTTAGATCAACTGTTTTAAATTAGGTAATGAAATGTTATTTGATGAAAGGTGCAATTTTATCAACTTATTCGATAAGATTGTGAGACAATTAACTTTTTATGCCCCCGTAATCGATATATAGTTTTTGCCCTGTCCGTCCGTCTGTCTGTCTGTTTGTCCGCAAAAACTTTAAACTTGCCCATAACTTTTAATTGGTTGGAGCTACGGCTTTCATATTTCACATGTGTTTTTTTTGACAAGACCTTCCTTTGGGTACCAACATATTTGACATCTTGACCTTGGCGTTTGACCCACTTTTGCAAAAAGTTACCCAACTTTAACCTTGGCCATAACTTTTGAACAGCTGGTGCTAGGGCTTTCATATTTTGACCTTGACCTTGGAGTTTGACCCACTTTAAAAAAAAAACTAACCTTGACCATAACTTTTGAATGGTTGTTGCTTAGACTCTCATATTTACCAGGTATAACCATTGACACAAGTCCTTTCTTTGAATAACAACATTTTTGATCTCTTGACCTTGGAATTTGACTTGCACTTGAGAAACTTTATAAATACATCTTGGTTTTTTTTTCATTTTTCGTAAAAGAAAAAGAACAAATCCAATAAAAAGGTAATTTTTAATTACATGTATTAGAATTCTTCAACCTTTTTAACTTCTTAAAGCCTAGTCAAGTGTCCACATTCAATTGTCATTAAAAAATTGAATTCAAGAGTCGCAATTCCTTTTTGAATTATATTTAGGAACGAAACTTATAGTTTGTGATTTTATTTTACTGAACTACAATCGAAATTACTAGCATACTGGATTGTTCTCATAAAAATGGAAATGAAAAGTTGAAACTGTTTAAGGTTTTACATTTAATACAGAATTACGTATTTCTGTTATATCTTAAAATCTTAACATTTCCAATGGTTTTTTTTTTTTTTTTTTTTTTTTCTAAAAAAGAAAATCGATGTTGGACCGCTGAGTGAGATATTGGACCTTTCAATGAGATATTGGGCCGCTATGACGATTTTTTTGTCACACTGTAGGCGATCAGCTGTATCTTATCAATTATCGCAAACACGAATATGTCAAAATAAAAAGTACAATGTATATTAAAAAAAATTATTGACTGTGTTCTCGGACAAAATGCGGTCTATCGACCCCTCGAATGACACTGTTTGCCTTTAGCCTAACAGCCTCAAGCAAACAGTTTTGTTCTTGGGTTCGACAAAATCATGTTGCCCTCGAACCCAGTGCAATAAATGTATATTGAATATATTTTACTAGTACCAATTTTAAAATTATCCAAAACTGCTGCAGAAGTAGAATTTAAAAAAGAAAAAAAATATTTAAAAGTAGCCAAGGGAACATAGCCCATAAAAAAGAAACAGAATTGTGTAACTTAAAAATACATGTCTAAATTTTATAGATGGAGTAGCATTTTGAAAGAATTTTACGAAATTTTCTATTTTTAGAAACTGTCATTTTGTAAATTTTAAGGTCGTTATAACGACCTTGTTAGCAAATATAACCTATCATTGGGTCGTATTTTGTCTGACATATTTCATACCAACTGTTACGCCTTTTTGTACTAAATTTGATTACGGAATATTCCGTCTACCTGATCAATACGTTAGGGCTCACGGTGGGTGTGACAGGTCGGTAGGGAATGCTTTCTCCTCCCAGGCACCTGATCCCACCTCTAGAATTCCCGCGGTCCGTGTTTTATGCTCTGTTTACAGATTGGTATTGATAATGATTATATGATAATGTAAAAAAAGAAGCAAAACAAAAAAAAATTTTTTTTAAATATATATTAAAAAAAAAAAAAACGAACTATGGCTACTAATTAAGCTTAATCATCTTACCGCGGAAACTGCTCAACCATCGAGGCCGTTTTGCTCTATAGAGTATCAATCATGTACAATCCAAAGAGAAAAACACACAAATAATCAATTACCAGGTATTCTGGGATTGGGGTATAAATCTTAAGGCTCTCTTTGATGGTCACAGTAGCACCAGAACCCAAGGAGCTCGGAGGTAACAAATACATTTATTTCTTTTCAATGTGTCTCGTAGATTAGGATTAGAATAAGTAGTGTGAATAAAGTTAATATAACGTCTGGAAATGAACGAATTTTAAAATAAATAAAACTCCCTGATTCTTACAGTATTTATTTCTTGTACCCAATTCGCTTCGCCGAATATTTTTACATGTATTTGAAAGTGCTATACACATTTTTTTAATATTTTACCCTGGAGTACTTTTTAGATTTTTGTATACTAATGCTTAAAAGTTCATCGTCCCGCTGTACACTCATGATTTTTTGCACAAAAAGAATTAATTTGGGAGTAAAATGCATACAATGTTTGCATACCTTGCGGAGCAAAATTTGACAAATAGAGGAATGGCCTTTTGACTTGACAGTTTTATAAAGGAATAAAAGGCTTTTATCCCAGTTAGAGTGATCTCTCTTATCTGAGGGTGAATAAACCTTAATCTAGTTATGGTTCATTAGCTGAAATTGATCTACAGAAGTGGGGAATCGTACAAGATTCTTGACAGCTTCTGTCTAATAGTATAGTAGTCTTGGTTATACTTTCTAATTTCTTTTCCAATAATAAAGTCTCTTTTCGCTTTCTTTTACAGAAAATTAAACATGTGGTTGAGGGCTCTCCTACTTATCAGTGTAACCTCAAGTTTGGTCAACTCTCACGGGATCTACCGCGCAGTGAACCCAAGATTGATCCCTTGGTGGTTCGCAAGATTTCCAAACTCCAGAGTTTTGCTCAACAGAGATTTGTTTAACCATGTCTATCGGAAATTAATTCTGCGGGATCCATACTGGCACAGGCGGATACATGCTCATAGGCACAGGATTTTCCATCCTATACACCTACATAGACATGTTCATCGAGTACAAGTCCCACCTCTTCTTTCTCACAGGGTAATTAGAAAGATTCCAGCTCCCCCTGTTGTGAAAACAGCGTCCGTAGAATCCGATAAGCATTTGATCGGAAAAGCGGAGACGTTTGTACGTTACTCAAGTCCTTCTATTCCGAGATACAACACTCCCTGGGTAAAGCATTCATCATCTTACCAGGATTATGGGCACGTAGGTTCTCCTTCCATCTATGACCGGCAAGTAGCTGGCGGAGTATCTGGAATTTATGACGAAGAGGTTTCCTTGCCTGTACTTTCTTCTGCTGCAGGAAGTATAGATAGTTCTGTTGCTCCAATCCCTGACTACCCAGTCGCGCAAGCCCCCCTAGATAGTTCTTCTGTTGCTCCAATCCCTGACTACCCATTCGCGCAAGCCCCCCTTCCACAGCTATCTTCCTCAACCACTGGAGCCGACAAGCATTTGATCGGAAAATCAGAAACATTTGTACGATATTACAGTCCAACAATTGATAGATTCAATACTCCCTGGAAAAAGGTTGCATCCAGCTACAGAGACTATGGGCATGTTAACATTCCTCCCGTTTATGACCGACAAGTACTTGGTGCAGGACCTGGAATTTACGATGACGAGTTATCTCTAAATACCTTGCCTTATGGCGCGGGCGGTTTAGGCAGTTTTTCATATGGTCCAAATGATGGCGGTTTCGTTGCTGGCGGTGGTATTGATGGCGGTTTCGTTGCTGGCGGTGGTGTGGATGGCGGTTTCGTTGCCGGCGGTGGTGTGGATGGTGGTTTCGTTACCGGCGGTGGTGTGGATGGCGGTTTCTATGCTGGTGGTGGTTCCGTGGATGGCGGTTATTCGGGTGGGTTTTCTACTGATGCCCGGTTATTTGGGTGGATTTTTTTACTAATGCCTAGTCGTTTGCGGTTACTCAAGGTAATTTTTTAGCATGCGTTAAACAAAGTAAAATTAAACTTCGGAATCTAACATCGATATCTCGAATGCCATGCTATATCGAAGTGAGTTTAATTTGAAGACACAATTACTTTTTCTTTACGTATTTTCACCTTTATATCTCGAATCCTCAGATATCACGATTTTTTTTCCGAGATAATGATACATCTATTTCTTTTTACTTATTTAGTTATTCAATGAGCAGTAAATTGTCAACTCATACGTCAGAAGAAGATTTTTGATGAACATTTTCCACTGCCTCCGTTTTAAAGCAAATATTTAGCATTGTTATCATGCACATGTATTGAAATATTACTACTGACCATTTAACTAATTTAATTCCTGTTCTGGTCAACGTATTTAGTGTATACTGGAATATTTTCAGCCTATTCTGGCGGAGGACTGAGTACTTACGGTGCAAACTATGGACCCGGGGCCCAGACAACACTACGCCGAGATGTTTTCTAAAGCAAGTCTGACTATACATTACTACTTGATAAAAGGAAAATGAGGGAGGGATAGAGACATTAAAGTATTTATTCTGAAATTCTGTTTCCTATGTTCGTTTTTTATTACTGCTAGAAAAGTGTAAAACGCTCATCTTTATCAGGTTCTTCATACTTAGAAACGAAATAGACCGTGTTTCATTCCAGATCAATTTTGTTACTTCATGAAGCTGCTAGTGTTTCTTCATAGCATTGCCCCATTCATTACAAAATGTTTGTAGTCTTTATTTTCGCTATTGTGATCACTGATATTTTTTTAGCATTTCCTTCACTTGACTGTTTTAGAATATCTTTTTCACCTTTAAGTTACATCCAATTTATTTATAAAACACATGTACCTTTAACTGTTGCACAAACCCAAAAGAAGCATCTTCGCAAGGAGAGGGGATTCAAATTAATTTATGATTCAAATATTCATGGATTTTATTTGTTTATTTTTTAAAATTCTCGGGAAAGTTTACTTCTCCTTCCTTGTGATTGTGGTCCTGCTTTGAACTTTTGAAACCGTTGCTTCGGGCCTGAAAGTTTACCAGATTGTGGTCCTGTTTGTCTAGTATTCTTCAGCTGTACACAGCATTCTCCGATTCTGATTTTGTTTTTAACGAAAGCTGACCACAAATACTCTGAAAAGCATTGTTGTCGAAAATTGGGTAAAAATGCAGTCAAAAAACAAACAAGCAAAACAAAAAAGCAAAAAGTGTCTTGTAATATGATGGCATGTAGAGGAAGGGATATCAAATGCTGAAAAAAAAGATTGATGAGAATACTAGTGAAAATTGTCGGTATCTGATATTTGAATATTTTTCACACGAGGTTTATTTTCAGACTAAATTACCAAGTTAAAAAAAAATGAAAATCCGAATCCCACTTAGATAACCTTGTTCCTGTATGAAATAAGTCTACCAAGTACCTTTTCTGTAATACACATGTACGCGTGTACAAAATCTGGATGATTTTAAATGAATTAATCCATTGTACCAATTATTGATGATTATAAGGTTCTATATTTTTTTTTTACAGATAGGACAGAAAAGGACCATGTGATACCTGAAAAGTCAACACATTTTGAAGTTTTATACAATAATTATTATTAAAATGAAAATTTAGGGAATGGTTTGAATTCTTTTTTTTTTCTAACCTGATTGTTGGTCATTTAGAAAGAGGAAAAATGGCAACTAAAATACATGTATGCTAGTTCAATTAAGTGCTGGAAACACTGGCTATGTCTTGGTTTTGTAAGGAGAAAACATCAGAAACTGAAGCTTAAGACAAGGTTTCCTTCTAGTCCTCGTGCTCCTGATCAACAGCCAGTCAGGAATTAATATGTCAAATTATATGTACTCTTCCTTTGACTTCTAGAACCATAAACATTTGGAAGACTATCTTAGGTTGTCACAGAGTAGTAACTTTATTTATCTTAATATTAGTGATGAACAAGCGATTTAAATTTCTACCTATAGTTACAGATAGGCAAAGGAATCCATTCAGAATTAATTTTTACGAGGTAGGGCCTTTTTTCTTTGTAAAGGATTGACTTTGCTGCAGAAAGGTCTTATCCATCACATTGAGATAGATTAGTGTTAAACAATCTGGGATACCAAGTAATCTGTTCACAAAATAGTAATTGTTCATGCTTTAATGTCTCTGAATGCTCTTTTCCTATTGCCCCTAACATACAGAAATAGAAGAAAAGTTCAGAAAAAAGGCATTCCTGCATTTTCTGAAAATAGATTTAGAATATTTTGTTCTTTTTGCAACACTTTATTTAAAACTTGAATGTGCTTTTTGGATACTAAGTATGGTCTATATTTTCTGGAATAGTGCATAAACTGTACACGTAATAGTCTTTAAAGAAGGTTTACTTTCTCGTTTACGGGTCTTATAAACTGACAAAGTTACTACGTTTTTTAGGTCACCTGAGTCACTCGGTGACCAGTTACTATTTCTTGTTCGTTGTACGTCGTCCTTCGATGTGTTCGTTAACTTTTGTACATTTTCAGCTTCTCGGGACCCGCTGCACCAATTTTGGTATATAGCATCTATGGGTAAAGGAATACATAAAAATTGAAATTTCATGGTCTCTGCCACCCCGGGGACTGATGGGTGTGTCGAAAAGTATGAAAATTCATGCAATCTTCAAAAATCCACCTCCTAGACATCAAGCAATCAAACTAACAGGTAAATGGTTTGCATGATTGTAACTGAGTACTCAACCAAATTGTGAAGTTCAAACCCCATTGGGTCTATGGTTCAGGATGGAGCTTAGTTGGTAATATATTGAAAGAGCATTGTGAAAAACTTCTTTACTCTTGGATGTCATTAGCAGGCACATTGTTTACATAATTGTCATATCGGTCCATAGTTCAATCCCCAAATTTGGTACTAAGTTGGTAATACATATATACCGAGAGGAAAAAGAAACGCATACGTTGGCATTTATTACTATACGACACATTGATAGCCAAATACAATTTTACGTAATATTTCATTCATATTTGTCATTAATTAAGGCATAATATGGAATCAAACGACATATCGCAGTTATTGACTGGTATAATAAACCATGAGTAACATTAGGATTTATTTTTACTTGGAAAGTTACCTCTTATCATAGGGTCGTTACGCGTCCCCTATAATGGCCCGTTTTCATTAAAATTACTGCAATGTTTTGATATTCGTTAGCATTGCTGAGCATGTTGTATTCACAACAAAGAAGCTACATATATTAACTATGTTGATATCACTGATTTAATGCAAAAATCTACATCTGAAAGGGCCTGCGCGACGGTATGTTTTGATCAAATGTAAACGTTTCATGAGCTAAAATTACAAATGCAAGACGATAAAAATATCTTCCTTAAGTATACATGTATTTATATCACTGAGCTTCCGTGGGAGCAATCATATACACAAACCCCTTTTCTCTCTCGGTATGAATCCTCTTTTCGATGAAGATTCCATTGTTATTTTGAAAATCTTACAGAAAGTATCCGTGAAGGACCTTCTATACACTAGAGGGAAAGATTTTTTGGACACAAAGAAACAGAGGAACTGGTATCTTGCATTTACCCCCAGGAAAAATGTTCAAAGACAATGAAGTACTTATGAACAGAAATCACTGCTGTGTACTTATGTGGGCAAAATACCTGCAAACGAAGTGTTCAATGTATTCATCTTGGCCTATGAAAAAGTTAGGAAGGCTTGATTTGATCACAAATTAAGTAATAAACTGTACATTTCAATTTATTTTACTCTTGATCAAAGGGCAGATTACTCTGTCTGCATAATAATACCACAAAATCAGAACTCTTTAGTGTGCAGTGTATAGATGGCTCTTAATTCTTCTCAAAGAGTCCATTTCAACAAAAAAGTTCTGTTATGCCTATACACCGTGAAGTTATATTGAAATCAGACAAAAACTGTAGGAGGAGTAGCATTTTGAAAAATTGTTTACAGACATATAGAAGGACAACGGACACCTTACTATGACACAAGCTCTTCTGGCCTCTGACAAGTAAAGCTAACAAACAATAAAAACAAATGTCTTATGAATCTTTAATACACCAAACCATTGAAATGTGTGCACTGCCAAACTTCAAAGTTAAATTCTCAAACCAAAGATATATCTATCTTCAACCCACTTATAGGGTATCACTGTTTTAAAGGTCAGAAGACTTTTTCACTGAAACTGACAAAACTTGTTAATACTGTAAATGTTTCATCTGTTAAAATAAAATTCAGATCTTTCAGTTTGTAAAAGCACTTTGATTGTAGAAGTCTGTGACTAAATGTGAAAAACTTTTTTGGCACAAGGCAAGCATCTAGGAATAAAGAACGCTGTTTTCTGATAAAACAAATCAAAGCCTAGGAAGGCAGCAATACCTGTAGAATTTGCTATCAAAATATCTGGCACTGCCAAATTTACATGTTAAATTCATATGAAATCAATTTTATCATGATCACACTCTTTTAAAATATATTAAATACAAAAGAGCAAAATACAGTCGCTAAAGTCCCCAACATTAAATTTCTCCATAATGTTCTTTGATCTTTAACAGTAAGGCATCACAAGTCTTCTTAGCATCCCCAAGCAACATGCTGGTGTTGGGCTTGAAGAAGATTGGGTTATCTACTGCTGCATATCCCACTCCCAAAGTTCTCTTCATCACAATCACCTGTGGGGAAAGTACATGAAAATTATAATTAAACAACTTGAACCACACATCTCATGCTGCACTATATTTCTGTTAAATCTGACCTAATTTAAGTTCATAAAGAGACATGAATTAACATTTATTACATGACCAGGTATGTGATGACATCACAGTAGCTTACATTTTTGGATCCCCAGACCCTGAGTACAGGCATTCCTGCAATGATAGAGTTAGGATCCTCCTCTGCTGCAGAGTTTACTGTGTCATTAGCTCCAATGACGAGAACAAGGTCAGTCTCCGGGAAGTCATCGTTAATCTCGTCCATTTCCAGTACAATATCGTAAGGTACTCCTGCCTCTGCCAACAGCACATTCAACTGACCAGGCATACGACCTAAAAATCAAATGCTTCAACTGAGTATTGACATATAGTAGTTTCAGAAACAGTCAATATCCAACAGTATAGTGGTTAAGACTGCCCCATTGGCAGTTATATACAAAGGTATATACATTCTCCTTTCAAGCACAACCTACAAATAATTGTTTACCTTTGCACCAAGTATGAATATTTGTCAGTACAATGACAAGTGAATTTTGTCTCCACATTCTAGACTATAAAAATTACAGTTTTGTTTTTTTAATAGCTTTTACAGAAGCAGAAAAATGAAGGACTCCCACTACCCCCCCCCCCCCCCCCCCCCTCCAATTTGTGGATTAACTTGTATCATTGATTATGTGTTTTCAAATTCAGTGACAATAAACTTTTCAAACAAACACCTGCAACAGGGTGAATTCCAAATCTGCAGTTGATTCCTTTCTTTTTGAGGAACTCCACCATTTCAGCTATTGGATACTGAGCCTTAGCTACACAGAGTCCATATCCTGGGGTGATGATGATATTTCTGGACTCTGTGATCATTTCCACAGCTTGACTTACATCAATCTCAGTATGAGTTCCAGTGATTTCCATAGGTTTACCAGTGCCAGTGGACTTTGTACCATAGCCTCCCAAGATTACATTGGTCAGGGATCTGTTCATGGCCTATCAAAACAAATATACATGCATATCAATATATTACAGAAATTCTATTTCAGAAGAACATATGGAACAACAATCGAAAAAGGGTATTAAAAAAATTCAAAAATTTCATATGTTAGATGGGACACAACTCTACCCTACTTCAAGGACCTATGACACACAGTAAGGTTTCTCATTACTACAATGCTCAAAATCTACTGAACTATGACCCTCAACTAGAATATAAATTGACCAGTTAACATGGACATTACTGAAAGATATATTGTAAGTTAATCACATCCATCTGTCAGTATATCTTCAAATACCTATCCACTGCAATATTGTCCTTATATATTTATGTTTCTCAGTACCTACCACACACATGATGTAAGAAAGAATAGCTCCCGAGGATCCAATCAAGGCACCCACAATAGTCATTAAGTTATTGTTCAACATGAATCCCTCAGCACACAGAGCCCAGCCAGAGTAACTGTTCAGGACAGTAATAACAACAGGCATGTCAGCACCTGTCAAATATAAAAGAGTTTACTTCTTTAACTACAAAGTGTTATACATTGTTTTGTTAGAAATTTCAAAAGAAAATGTTCTGTCATAGTCTATTGCTGCATTCACTTAAGTCTCAAAGGACCATGTACACAGTCTTGTTTATGGTCCTCAACCAACCTCCAATGGCAGCTGTGAGAGTGACCCCCATGATGCTGGAGAGAGTTGTGGTGGTCCCCAGGCAAGCCAGCTGAGTGGTGGGATCATCACTTAACATGTAGGTACCCATAGCTCCTACATTACCCATCAACATTCCAAAATTGAGGGCATGTCTAGCAGGCAGGATAAGGGGATCAGACTTCAGGACACCTACAACAAAAACCTTGATATGATTCACATGTAACAGCAAACATACAAAAAAATTACTGATATGAAC